CATACTTTTAAAAATGGGGGGGAGAAGTGTTATTTCATATTGTCCTAACAGTACAAAATTTCATATTGTCCTAACACTAACTGATGTAAACAGATTGAGATACTGAAAATGCAGGTACTTTATACAATCAGCTATAATAAACCACTCTCTTATTTTATATGCCTCTTAGATTTCATGTTGTACTATTTGATCAAGAGTTCTAGCAGAATGTACTCTGAGCTCAACAAAGAAAGACTCCTAGAACAAATGATGTGAAGTTCTTGCCTGTGTGCTAGGATCTAAAATTATTTTTAAATATATTTCCAGCTCTTCACATACTGCATCAAGAGAGTCTCTGTGTTAGATGAAGCCAAGTTTAATTTTTTGGCCAATTGTGTTAGTGAAAAAACTGAAAGCAGCTTCAACCTAAAATATATATACTTGCTTTAAGTAATACCAGAACTTGTTTATACTAAGAAAGTTGCACCAGTTTACTAAATCAACTCAAGAATATCAATCTAGTTAAACTGATACAAACTCCTAATACAGACACATTTAAATTAATGTAACCCTTGTTTCAATCACATTAGTTTTTAACAGTAAATTACCAAATTAATCTAAACCAATTTAAGTGAAACCTCACAAAGATGAGGTCATGGCTTGAGTAAAAGTAAATGTATGTCTTGGATCGTAATAGAAGAGTTTTAAGAACAACCCACTTCCTTCCTAAATTGACTTCAATTATGAACATCATATGTATGTAATATATGATCATTTTAGAAGAATATGCAAATTGTCAGCATGCAAATAGCCCTATATAATATGCACAACTAAAGACATACCTCAGATAATTCAGTTTGTGCATGGGAATGATTGATACTGGGATTACTGTTCAAAATCCCAAACCATGATACTTGAGATCACACTACTATTTCATCTTTAAATTTCATATATTTTATTAATTTTATAAAGCAATAGCCACACAAACATACACAGCAACCATAAATCACAACAAATAAATGCCAGTGGGTAGCTGAATAATGGCTTTATGAAAGAAACCAAACAGATATGCAAGAAATTTTAACTAACTAAATAAATAAATCTGGTATCATGTAAAATTCTATATATGTACTGTGAGAACCATAACACAATTCTGCATTCATATAAAAAGAGATGAGTGATACTGAATCAATTAACAGATTACCTCCTTAATGGAAGGTATTTAACACATCTCCCTTATTTTTTCAACCTTGCGACATCTCCTTTCTTTTTGCACAGTAACTTTTTCATACTTAATGACGAAACAAACGACATTCAGACAAAGTATGTAGGAGCTTTGGGAGAAAATCCTATCAGTTATTTAGCATTAACTTGGTTTGTCAATACTGTAAAGGCTGACATATTTACCATTGTCAGACTGGTAATATGTATGGATTCACTTAATTCTTGGACTGACACAATATTATCATGTCATAAGACATGCAGTTGTAAATTAAAAAGACAATTTCTTTTTACTGATTCCTCCTTGGTGTCAGAGCTCACTCTTAATTTTTTTTGTTCAATAATCCCCTTGTTTGAAGGCTTTGAATGATGTGTTTTTTCTTTTGTTCGGGTAAAAGGTATATAATTCCCATCTATTTGCCCTCTCCGAGTTTTAACTGCTTAGTAAGGCTCAAGGTCTGTGTCACACATTTAACATTCATCTGCTCCCTCTACAAGGTCAGAAGAGGACGATTGCTTTTTTACTAGTATTTACTCTAATTATCCCCATGACATCTTGTCTCCTAACCTCTGCTTGTTGCAGTAGAGGAAACTCAATGTTCAGTGCATGTTCCAAAAGTGCATGTCCCTACCATGTTCAGTGCATGTCCCTACCAGTATGGAGAAAAATTACTCTGACCCCAAATGTAGTGATCAGTCTATATGTTGTACTTCTACTATTGCAGGGAAAGAACATTCCAAAAATTGATATTTCTCTGAGGAAAAAAAAATAGTTCTAAATTTTGTGGATTGATCTTTAATTTTCAGGTGTGTGCATTTGTTCTCCTTATATTATTAGGTAAACTAGATCTTCTCTATATTCTATAAAATTAAGCTCCTCTGGCTGTCATTGTAGCTAAGACTGCATGTCTTTATAAAGGTCAGTAGCTCTTGTCTTAAAGATATTTATAACTCATGTCTACAAATCTCTATTTTTTCATTTTTGATTTATGACCAATATTTTTCTGCATCAACTTTAACTGCTTGAATTTTTGGACTTTAGGAAACAACTGTTATGGAAAAGCTAATCAGCATTTCTAAGTCAGCACTCTTATTTAAAATGTGGGAGTATTAACAGAAGGAATTCTAACATAAAATCATTTTGGGGGCTGCATTCAGACCAACATTCAATTTCATAGTTCAGAACAAATGTTCTGGCTCAGTTTATATAAAGTGTAATACAAATTTAAGAATGTTATATCAGTACTTCTCCCAAAAAATAAGAATATTAGAAACACTACTTTGTCTAATTCACAGAACAATGTTCACTCTCCAGCTATCCTGGTCAACTCAGCTGGGCACCAGTAGAGATACTGGGCCAAATTTTCAAAAGTGGCCTATAATTTTGGGTACCCAACTTTACATGTTACAGCCTAGTATTCAGAACTGGTGATCACCCACTGCTCCAAATGACTTCATCTGGAAATATTTCTACATCTAGGGGGATAGAACTAGGGGAAGAACACAACTGCATCAACCAATCACTTTTAAAGCAAGTGTAAAGATTCTTCCTGAACTCCACAGAAAATAATATTCCAACTGTAGCTCATGACAACCGCAATCTATTATATCCATCTAGTTTTAATGACTGATTCACTGAGGCAAGACAGCAGAATTCATGTCCTGTCAGCTTTCATTTATGTTTATAGTATGCTCCACTAAATCAGAGATGTTTCTCTGGCACAAAGAATGAAGGTAAAATCTCTCCTTAGCTTTTCTCCACAAAAAAAGAGGTGTCAACATGCTTAATTGTTGATGAGTCAAAGTTATTCTCATTCATCAGAATAGAGAGTTTTGGGGAAAAAATATACTACTAACATATTGAGTACTAATGTGGTTCAGATGGTCCCATTTCCTGTCATGGAAATAACTGCAGAAAACTTCCCTGTACATAAATAATTTGACACTTTAGAAGGACTTCACATCCACCTGCTGCAGTAATGTGTCTTGCTGACAGCCAGAATTGCCAATGAAGTCTAAGTCTTCCTATCTGACCAAGTATTCATTTTTGGCACCTCAGAGACATTAGATATGATCAAGTGCAAAGTAGGATTTTGTGTCCATATTTCAGTTCAAATGACTTCTTGCAGAAAGAGAGCACTTGCATTTGCCAACTTCCCATCTCGACCCATTCCCCTCCCTCCCCCTTCTTCCCCATCCAAATACTACAAGGTAGGCCAATAGGCAGACGCTATAAAAAGCTTCTATTTTAACAGACAGGGAGGAATGTAAACGGAGATCACATATATACATCAATTATGGATACAGAGGGCACAACTTAGTGCAAGAAGTGTTGACATTGCAGTGTGTCTTGACTTTACACACCTATAATTTGCAGAATGTGTCACTGCTTACAGAGATTAAAGAGAGATTAACTTTCAAAAACAAAACCTAGCTTCCAAGGCTGTGTAACCTGAGATTTTGGCACCACATTGAGTCAGCTGAAGTGACACAAGGCAGTGAGAGCATTATAAATGAGGTGTCCACTTCACTTTGGCTATTTATAGAAATGCCCCCTGTGGAAGGGACCAAAACACAAGCCTTTGCAGCCAGGTTGAATTTCATAAGAAAAGATTACCAGGGCGCAGAAACCTGTTTTGCTGCCCCACAGGGGGTTTCACAGAAATAGTATGTAACCTAAGGGACTGTAACAGGTTGGCAGTGTTTGCCTGAAACATCCAAGCCGTTAACCAGGATCTAGCACTACATTTTTGACAGAGAAAATATTTAAGTATTTTCTGTCAATTCTGCCTTATCAGTACAGCTTGATATTTTCAATGCAAATCCTACTCCTGTGATATCATTTCATAATTCTGTCCCGTGTGAGCCCATCCTGTGTGCTGAATGAGGCAGGAATCCTGTGGAAAAAAATACTATGTGATTATGCATTTTCACCCCAACTAAGCTCCCCAAATCTACTGTGGAGAAGGCAAAAAAAACCTCACTTCACCTTGGCCAAATTCCTTCACAGCTCCTCCGAAAAAGAGTAACCAGCACAGTGTCCACAGCAGATCCTGACAAAACCCAATATTCCATCATTTCCATGGGTGGGAGGGTGGCTGCTGCTCCTCTTAGTCCACATAAAAAGAGAGCTTTTCCTGCACCAGCATGGGCCTGTATAGTCCCCCACTATGGTCCCCCCCTGTCTTCCAGTCACCTGGGGGAATGGGTCAGCATCTCCAGACCTGATCTGCAGCAGAAAGTCACTCCCTAGCTCTCTAGCCCTTAAAGGGGCGCAGACCTTTCCCAACAAGCCAGACAATGGTCCCCATCACTTAATGTGCAGTGAGATCATTTCAAGTTTAGACAAGCCCTAATTCCCATTGAAAGTTAATGGAATTTGGGCACCTAACTGCTAATCATGCCTGTAAGAATCTCCTTCTTTGTCTTTTATAACAGCTTTCACTCACACACCAATATGCCACATTTGATGCCAAAGCAGTTGAACACATTTGTTGGTGCAGTATCAGAATAAGCCCCGGTTGTGTTTGTGAACCCCTCTGGCCTCATCCTTATTATGAGGTATTAGAGATTTGACACCACCCGTCCATCTTAGGCCTCCAAAGGATCGTGCCTTTTGTCTGGTGAGTCCTTAAGAACAGAACTTGCTCCTCCTTGACATCACAAGTTCTCTAAGTAGTAAGTGTTGTGTCTTTCACCACTATAAAAGCAACCCAAAGCAATAAGCTATTCAACTGTCACTACTGAGAGTACAGCCATCTTTGCTGGTGCAATGAAAGGCATGGGTGCTTTGGACTTACCCTTGTGGACAAACACATCCTGAAAGACAAGGAAGATGTGCTGAGAAGGTGAGATTTAGCAGCTGATTCTCACAGGTTCTCTCTCTGCTAAGCTCCATGTTAGCTTGTGGATTACTACAGTTAACATAAATCTGGCCCGCTGGGCAGTTGTGTACTGGAAAACAAAATATTGCAGATGTTCATCATTCCTGAAATTTCAGATTTGGTAGAAAGCTTTCAAAATTAATAAGTGCTAATTTAAACCAGAGATTAATTCGACCAATCATGGGGGTGGGTTCATCTATAACTCCTGGTCAGACAGTTAACCCCATAGAGCCGCTATGAATCTGATCCAGTTGGAAAAGAAGAAAAAAGATAAATGTATTCTAATGAACCTACTTGCTCATTACTGTGCACTGTTCCCTCCAAGTTTAACAACCAGCCCAGGGAAGGTTGCATAATCCCCCAAGCACAGGAAAGCGCAGTACTACCTGGCTCACGAGGGAGCCAGAGCTGCATGTGAGCAGAAGCTGGGAGCTGGCTGTGGAGAGAATAGTGGATAACAGGTAGCCTGAGAGCTGGACCTGAAGGCCCTGACAGCTGAGCTGAGATTCCCCTGTTGCTGGCAGGGGTCCAGTGGCAGTCAGAGCAAGAACACAGGGCTGCTGACTGCAGGCAAGTGATTGGTGCAGCTGGGTTACACAGCAGCCTTTTGCTTTATATACCCCAGGACCGGCCTGCTCCTGGGCACTGGGTTGGGAACTGTTGGTTTTATCTCTTTTTTGTTTTAACCACTAAGGAAATTATTATCTGAGGAAATTATTATATTATTATCTGAGTGTGGTATCAGACGTCTAGGAGATTGCTGTAGTCCAACACTACTTGCAGTGACACCCTGCAATGTGATCAGTTACACTATTCATAAGAGAGTCAAGGACCCGCAGTTTCAAAATAAACTGAAACATCCTGCACCTCACAGCAAATTAGTTTTTGTTTTTTTTATCTGAAATGAAAGGGAACATTTTCACAAAGTCCAGTCCTTAACCCCTCAGGATCTGCTAGTCAGAGTAAAGATACTATAATACAAGAAGCAATTGTTATTAATGTTTTCCTTTTACTTAGGCACCCACACAACATTATAATTCTTATACCACTCTGGGGAGAAAGTAAAAACTGATAGTACAGAAATAGTACTTAGCTAGAACTGGGAGGGGAACAAAATCTCAGTTTGTAAAAATATTGGAAGTGTCCAGTTTTTCCAACAACATTTTGTGAGACAAAACTAGCCTATGTTTGCTCCATGTGAAGACCTGCTGTTTACATTACATAATAAACGTAGGTTGCATTATCAATCTGAAAACATTTCACTATACTAAAATATTGATAAAAAGCATTTTCTCACAGGTAGCCAGTACTTTCAACAGAGCTTCTATTGTTTTACTCTAACCCTACTTTTAAGTTATACCATAGGTTAAATTTCTAATTTAAGGCTCCAGTCCTGCCAAGTGATGATTGTATGGACCTTTATGCCCTCACAGAGTCCCGCTATAATCAATGAGACATCATGGAAGAAGCAGGGTCTGTCTACGCCATCTCTTTTCCATACCTTAATGAGTCTCTTTCACTTACCAATGTTGTTCTCACAACTCATCATTCCATCTTTGCAATGGCTGCAACAAAAATATATGAAGCTGTAATTAAAACCAGGAAGGTCTGAAATGTTACCATTCATCTATACTTGAAAAAAATGTGTAAAATATTACTCAAAATAAAAGAATTATATAAATGTGTATGCATGAAGATAACCAATAAGGGAGTTTGTGTTGTCTTGTTCAGAAGGTTCTTAATATATAATGTATTAACAAAGTAGCCTATATTGCTGCTTACTCATCCATTAAAAGAATAGAACAGTCCTTGTAATAAACAAACATTACATAATACAAATGCTAAGTTTAAAGAATAGAGCCCATGGAGGACTGACACAAAAATATTATTACATTACTAGGTCAAGTCCTGTTACCACTGATATCAATGGGAGTTTTATCATTGACTGCAATGGTAGCAAAAGCAGACCCTGTTGTGAAACAGTATCACATGTATCTTACATTAAACATTCAAATATGTAACTACAGTAAAAAAACAAAACAAAAAACCACATACACAGCTATAGCAAGCTATTCATTAGACTTCAACTCTGAGTAAGAGAAAACCCCTTCTAAATAAACACAGTAAACTATTACTCTTTACAAAAAATCTTTTGGTTGACTATTGTAAATATTCAACTGATTGATTTTTCTCATTAGAAGCCCAAAAGGCTGCTGAAGAGTGAACTGGCGAGTCAAATGAAAATCCAAATGACTCCAAAGATAGCTCAAAACAGTATCAATTCCGTAAGATAAAATGCTGTGCTGTGCAAAATAAAATCACTGGACTTCACTTCCCCAGCCCTGCCACCATAAGCTACTAAAGCAAAATTTAGTCAAGGCTGAAACACAATGAAAAAGTCACAGTGAAAGCTTCTCCCATACTATTGAGCTAATATGGTGGGGCTAAAGGGGGGGAGGCGCGATTGGTTTCATGCCTCTGCCAATAAAACCAGTGCAAAGAAAACCAATGAACTGCTTAAACCCAAAACATAATTGCAGCAAATATTATGCAAAGCAGCACTGAATACTGTGGCACTTTCTGTACCTGTCTAACTCCAGCCAAAATAGTCTACTACTTTATAGAAAGTAGCAAATTTGATAGTCACTCAGCCTCTGGGAAGAAAATAATAGTATTGGCTCTAATTCAGATTCTGTGCTATACTGAAGGAGAATTTCAGCCAGTGAACTTTAGTCCTATTCACTTATTCTTCTGTGACAGTTGTGGTCTCCCCAGTTCACCTCTGCTAGACAGCCAGTAAATAAAATATCAAAAATGCCTCTGTCTGTGCTATTGCTGATTTAATATTGTATTTAGAGCAACATATATTTTACACAACTATCCAAATTCACTAAAAGTGGGGGGCTCTGTCTTATGGAGTTTGCAATGTAATTCAGAGAGCAAAATATGGAAAAACAATACAGGACAAAAATGGTGAGGGAGAGTACTGTTGTGGATGTGGGACAGCATCACAGTGTAAGTGGGGTTTTAAGGAGGTGGTTGAAAAAAAGATAGCTAGAGCACTTGGCAGAAAGTTAACAATAAGAGGCTGTTTCAAGTATGAAAGGAACTCAAATCTAAAAGTGGGAGGAGACTAAGGGAACAATTAGGACAAAGAGGATTGGATGAGCCTGATAAAGACCCTAACCATTTTTAACAAGTACATAGCAGTGGGCAAATACATTCTGTTACATTCCGCAGTTTTGTTAGTGATCTCCCATATACATAGATATTATTACCCTAAAATGTCTCTTAGGCTTGGTCTACACTTACCCCCCAAGTGAATAACGTAGCTGAATTCGACATACCTTACTTCGAACTTACCGCGGTTCAGACGCGGTCCACACGCAGCAGGCAGGCTCCCCGTCGACTCCACGGTACTCCTCTCGTTGAGCTGGAGTACCGCAGTCGACGGGGATCACTTCCTGGTTCGATTTATCGCGTCCAGACCAGATGCGATAAATCGAACTCGGAACTTCGATCCCCAGCCGCCGAACTAGCACGGCAGTGTAGACCAGCCCTTAGATCTGACTAGTTCATCTAGACCCACTGTCCATATAGTAACTCGTATGTAAGACAGGCTCTATATCAATTGACCTGCATAAATCCATGTTAAAGTGTAGCCAGAGAAAATCATGACTAACCAGAAGGTAAGCAAGATAATCTTACAACTGTCTAAGAGGTCTACTCACAATGTAGACCAGTGTAACTCCACTGAAGTCAAGGAAGAGATGAATTTGGCCTTAGAATTTAAAACATTTCAATCAGTGGATCTCAACCATCTGATAATTCCAATATATGCACAGAGAGGCAAATCCTCAGTAGGAAATATTAATGCCAAAAAAGCTCTCATAAAACCAGGGCTCTGCACCCCTCCACTAAATTCTGTGCACTTCTTTCTTTTGCATGCACAGTAGAACTGCCCCAGCTCCATTGCCAGGGTACACTCCCCATGGGCATGAAGTCAGAGACAGTATTGACCCCAAAGTGAAGACAGGCTTAATCAAAGAACAGTTTATATATTTATCTGGGTCAGTGTACTTGTTGGTGCAAGGGTGCCTGAGAAGGACTGGCATGTATTCACACTATACCATTGGGTTTCTGCCAGTACTGATGCCTAGTCAGGTAAATGGGAAATCAGACTTTAAAGATTAACTGATGTGTTTTATTAACTAGCCAGATTTTTCCAGAGTCAAAGCTCTCTGTTCTGCCTACCTGATCCCAGGGGGGGTTCAACAAGGTTCTAGTCCTGCCGAGTTGGAAGAGGAAGGCCAGGGAAGGGGTTGGGCATGCCAGGGAAGTCCTCAAGGTTCTCTGCACCATTAACTTGCATGCCTATCTACTCAGTGTTGTGGAGCCCACTTACAGGAGGCTCTGAGGGTAAGCACAGCAGAGGAAATTTCTGGAAGCATGCATTTCACAGCAACAGTGCTGTCCAAAGAAAGGCAGAAAGTCATGGACATTTTAAAGCTAGTTTACAGAATTCTCAATAAAAGATAAAACAGGATAGTGCAAATGACTTGACAGAGCACAGGGGGAAAAACCAAACAAGGTGCATGCCCTACCATTTGCCCAAAGAGGTGATAATATTTTCTCCGGGTGGATATTCAATTCCTTGAAAATAACAAGGGCACTCATTCCTACAGAGGAGAAAAACAAATAATTTTGATCATATGGGAACATGTACATCATGAATTAGAAGATAGACATGAGGAAGAAAAAAACCTTCACATTAACCAATAATTACTGCCATTCAAAAAGTTGATCTTATTCTGCATGGTGGATTGGTCTGGATCCTTAGCACAGTATTGTTACCATGAGGGCATCGAGATGTATCTCCATGAAGGTAAGGTCAGCAGCTTTCTGACACTATCTATTATGCAAAGGACTAGTTCATAAAATAGACAGCAATATGAAAGAAATCTGGAGTAGCTACTTCAGACAGTAATAGAGGGGTGATAATAATCCATCATCATCACTTTAATATACTAGTATTTTTAAAAATATCATAGTTTATACACCTCTACCTCGATATAATGCTGTCCTCGGGAGCCAAAAAAAACTTACCGTGTTATAGGTGAAACCGCGTTATATTGAACTTGCTTTGATCCACCGGAGTGCGCAGCCCCGCCCCGCCCCGCCCCCCCCCCGGAGCACTGCTTTACCACGTTATATCTGAATTCGCGTTATATCAGGTCGCATTATATCGAGGTAGAGGTGTACTCTAAATTACCTCTTTTTAAAAAAGAAGAAGCAAAGCAAGTCTCTACAGCCTATGACATGGAAAAGTGGGAACACAGCCACAGGGAATGCCATGAGAGTGACAAACGAGACCACCACTTTTCCTTCCATATAAAATCTGTACAGCTAGTTGGGCTGTATGGAAAGAGATATAGCTGGAGCATGGGGGAGAGGCATTCTGCACTGCATGTTCCCTCTCCTAACTCCATGTTCATCAGGAATTAGTTAAAAATGTATTAAGTGAAATTAAGAATCCCCTTAGTTCTGTGTGACTCCCATCAGAAGACAGACTCTAGGGTTCCCATGTGGTCACTTTTTGTTGGTGAAAGAACTAGAAGGCATGGAGGGTAAGACTCTCTACGCATCCAGACGGAGATCCGTGAAAACCTATGACTGCAATCATGTAAATTCCTGGCTTCCATTTGTGTTTTATGGTCCTGATTCCCCAACCTCTGAATGTTCTCTCTCTCTATTGGTCCCACAGTAGAGAAGCGTGAATGTTACACCAGTTCTCAGAAGCCACCTGGATTATTTTATTCCATTCCATAGGTGAAATCCTGACTCTACTGACATCAATGGGAGTTTTGCTATTGACTTTAATGGGGCTAGGATTTTACCCCATATGTTTTTTTTATGCTGAAAGAAATATATGGCAGTATGATCCCAGCTTCACCAGTGTAAATCCCATGTAACTCACTGGAAGTCAAGGGAGTTATTCGAAATTTACACCAGTGTAATTGAGGATCTGGCCCAGTGTCTCCAAGTATTGTCAGCAGTCATTTATTTAGAAGATTAAAAGAACTCATGCTAATGTTTGTAGGAGTGGATGTGGTCTCAGGACTGAAAATGCACAATTTTGGTAAAGCTGATAGATAAAAACAGGGCACAGCACTGTATTCCTTACCTATCTGTCTATCTAGGTTTCATACTGATGCCCCTCATCATAGTATAGGAGTGCTTTCCACATAAAATCAATAGCACTAGCAAAGTCCCTACCCTTTTTACCTCTCCGATATTCAAAAACAGCTAGCATGTAAAGATTGATCATCATCAATATGACGTTATAAAACCTGGAGCCTTACAATTTCAGCTTTCCAGGGGACTGTCTGCTCTGCAGGGGGAAACTCTATTGAATAACAAAAAGGCCCCATAAATAAGGCATTCCCTTCCTGCAGGATAGGTGAAACGTTAAGGCACCAGAACTGTATGTGGAATTCATTGATAAAGCAATGATGAAATTCAGTGGAGACTATAATAAAAACTGTCTTTGGAAAGGAAAGAACATCTTTATCCCTGCTTTTTGCACTGCTAAGAATTGGCCTTTCAAAACAGCACACCAAATTGTGTAGGCTGAGTTTAAGAATCAAAGGACTGCAAACCTCCTGATTAACATGATTCTGTGTGATACTAAAAACCTGCCAGATCTAGAGGAGATGTATATTGTTCTACAGAATACACAAAGCACTCATAGTTTCTAAACTCTCTCTTTGATTTGAAAATATAAATGTACACATTTAAAGTGGTACTTAGACTCACTGTCAACGCTGCAAATTATACCTACCTCTGTACACATCTTTCAGTCTTGCTGTTCAAATACATTCCAAGAGGACAAGCACAACCTTCAACACAATCACCGCTGCATGTCTCTGGCATAGAAAATGTTTGGCAAGTTTGGCCACAGGTAGATACACAGGTACTGTACTCCTTTGTGTCTTCACATGAAAGAGCTATCCAAATGAAATAGATCTCTCTAATTACAGTGCAAGAGATTCAAGTACACTCCAATCTCATAAGTCTTTTTAGGGCAACACTTTTTCTGATAAAACATCATTATTTCTTGGATCCCAGTTACATTAGAATTGCTATTATAACACCATGGGATATAAATTACACAGATTTAAATCCAGTGTCAATCCAATGAAGTCAGTGCAGTTAATCCAGATTTACACTGGTGTAACTGAGATCAGACTCTGGCCTTTTGTCTTTATAACTCTAAACATGCTTGGCTCTCAAATAAGTGCTTTGAACAGTGCACAATATCTTAAACAAAAACACAATGAAGCAACTGATTAAGATGTTGGTGCTTTACAGCTGTTGAATCACACAATCTGACATTTTGTTTGCATGCCCCATAAAACAATAGTCAAGAACACATGCAGTCTAGTGTAGTTCCACTAACTGAGGGATTGGCCACAATTGCCACATATCAATGGAAAAAAAGAGACTCAGGTTCTTGAAGAATTGTTGGAGGATTTCAAATCTTTCAAATGTGGATTTCTGCTACCTTACATTAGCTATGATATCAACATATTAATTCATCAATGAATTAGTTTAAAAAATCCACAGAGACCTACTCTGATTAGAGAGAACCAGAAGCTATTTATCCATCCCATGAACTGCACCAATACAGACATTTGGGATGAGATATTCAAAGTAGCCTAGGAGACTTAGACACACAGAAATAGTGGAAGATGTGTCTTCCCTAGCCTGTTTTGAAAAAAATTCATCCTTGATTCTCAGATTAAGAGAATTATATGTTATGATGTGTGAGTGGGAAAACAGAGAAAGAGCTATTAAAAATGACCTTCTGATAAATGACAGCATTTATTCTGATTTGGTGAGAAAAGGACCTAGTACCTAGTATAAAAAGAATGGACTATAATTCATTGGTCCCATATATGGAATAGGCAACATCCCATTTAGTTTGCTCACGACCATGCATAAAACCTATGACATTAAGATGTTAGACCTGAACTGAAAGACAACTTACCACAGTCTGGGATGCTAGACCTAAAATCTATTATCACTCCATGTCTTCGGCATTGATGAGCATAATTGGCTAAAGCAGAGCACAAGCAAATCTGGCCACATTTGCAGGTGTCCCTTCTGCAATGCTCAAAATAGGAAACAGGACTCAGATAGGTGTGGCAAGGGACAAAGAGTTCTTTTGTAACGATGCTGCAAGCTTCTGATGCATAAGAGGCTGTTAAGGTAACACATTAAAACAAACATATTTTAGCTCCAAAACTATTAACACTTGGTAGAGGTCTTAGAGAAGGAAGTAGTATTGTTTATTGAAGCTGACCATAGCAAGAGATTTATGAACATATTTTACTCTATAGTAGATCTGTATGTGCAACTTCCATTGCTATCAATAGAAATTGCACTGATGACTGGAGAAGCAGTCAGGACCAAATCCATAAAGGGACTTCAGCATTGTGATGCTGAGCCTAGAAAAACACAGGAATAACACTACAATCCACAAAGCCTAAACTAGCCAATGGAAGATGCCGACAAGAGGGATGTGTCCTAAGCCCTGCCCCTCTCACAGAGATAGGCACTAAGCCCAGGCTGCAGGGAGATGCCTATTTCTGCTAATCATCCATAGGGAAGCCCTCTCCTGGAGTCAAGCAGCTTACACACCCAAGTCATTTCTTGTGAGAATGCATTAGGCACCTGCCTCACTCCACATCAAATAATAGGAGGAGAAGAAGTTGGTAGTGGTACCTGCCTAACACCACACAAAATGGGTGGTGGTGATGGTACCCAGTTTATAACATTTAACCCAGTGGTTAGAGCACTCAACTGGGAGGTGGGAGACCCATGTCCCCCCTTCTGCCTGAAGCATGGAAAGGATTTGAACAGCAGCTTCCCACCATTGAGGAGTGTGCTGTAACCACTGAGCTACAGGATATTCTGGTGTGAGGCTCCCACAATCTCTCCTGTTGAAGCTATTCTGCTTTGGATAAACAATTAGATAGTCATTGGAGATGGGGAACTGGACCCTGGATTTGCCACCTCCCAGATGAAAGTTCTTACCACTGTGCTAAAAGTTATAGGGTCAGCATCACCACCACAACAATTTCGAATGGGGCCCAATCCAGAAGGCAGCCCTTGAGTACACCTACTGGATCAGCCCCTGTGCGTGAATTAGGCAGACAAATGTCTCTTCTCCTGCAATTTGTGAATTGCTCTGGGGCATAGGTATGAGAGAGGTACCTGGCGGCCTAGAGTACGGCAGCAGTGCACATGCCCAGAGGCAGAAACACAGGTGCCTACAGGATTAGACAATAGCCAAGCAGGAGTTCTATGGATCACAGTGGAGCCCCAAACTGGAACTTAGACACCTAAGAAACTTTGTGGATCTGGGCCTTAATGGGTATGTCTATACTGCATCTGGGACCAAGCCTCCCAGCCTGGATCCACACACTTGTGCTAGTGGGGCTCGTACTAGTGCACTGAAAATAGCTGTTTAGCTGTTGTGGCTCGGGCTCAGAGATACAGCAGGATGAAACATTTTGGTGTCAAATCAATAATGATTGATCCTTACTGCTCACCTGCCTGTAGGTGGATATCACATGGGTCCATTGGTGAATGGTCATACGCAGGGGCACACGCGGATGAAGTTTTCCAGGAGTTTCCAAACAGCTGCGGGGTGCTTTCAGGTACTCCTACTGGAGATCTTTTGCAAGACAAAGGTCAGTCACTGACAGCATCACAAATTTACAACATAACTGCTCAACTGCATCACATCCCGCAATGAAGTTGGTCAGCATCCCTGTCTCATTGCTCTCTCAGGCAGTGCTCCAACAGAAGGGTATGTCTACACAGCAGTTAAACACCCACAGCTGGCCTGTGTCAGCAGACTCGGGCTCAAGGGGTTCAGGTTGAGGGACTGTAAAATTGCAGTGTAGGGGGCAGTCTGGGCCAGGACTCTACTGCCATAGGCAGGCACACACCCACTCTCACTAGAGCCTCACCTCTGTATGATACCTGTATGTTTTTCTGGATGTCATGCCATAATTGACCAATTAGAATGGTTTTTAAGGAGCTTTTATCACTGTGTAAAGCAAATCAAACAGGTTTGTAACTGGTTACAGGTTAATTGGGGATGGTTGTGGGTACATCTATGCTGCAATAAAAAACCCACGGCACCAAGCCTCAGAGCCTGGCTCAACTGGACTCAGGTTCTCACGGATCAGGCTGCTGGGCTAAAAATTGTGACACTCGGGCTTGGGCTGGAGCCCAGGTTCTGAGACCAACCCCCTTCGCTGGGTTTCAAAGCCCAGGATCCAACTCGACCACCTACACAGCAACTTTTAGTCCCACAGCTAGAGCCCCGTAAGCCCAAGTCAGCTGACTCGGGCCAGCCATGGCTGTGTCACAGGTCTTTTCTTGCCATGTAGGTTGCATAACCAGATCATGTGCTTCACACAGTGAGAAAAGACTCTTAAAAACCATTATAATTTGTCAATTATGGCATTAGATCTCAATTATGGTTTTATACTTAAACACTGTAATCTTCCAGTTGTGGTGCAGCTGTCACATTTCATTCATTTGTCACCCTTTTGGACAGCCTGTGTTACAGATGGGCAGGTTTGGAGATTGAGAAGGGTGTTGCAAACATCTGATGATTGTGAATTAAACTTTTAAGAATGTAAGAATATCTTGGCATCTTGCAAATACCGTTGGCAAATTTATGGCACATCCCAGTGTGATCTAGGCAGTTTTACCTGATGATGATTCTTTGTATCTTTAAAATAAAAAGTAGAGCTAGTTGTACGGGGGAATAGTTCTAGAACTTTTCAAAGAAATTAGGGACATTTTTGTGTGAAAAATGTTCCCATTTTTCTACCAGCTTTAATAAAAAGATTTCAGTTTAATTTAAAAATTAACACATCTTTTCTTTCCTTCTGACAGGTCAGAGGAATGTCCCTTCCTGCTCTAAATGGGCTCAACCCCTTTCTGCTCTGTTAACTCCTCTTTATCCTTTTTCACTCCTTTCCCCTTTACTTTCTCCCTTCTTAGTTGACTGTTTCTTCATCCTGAAGCCACTTCACTGTGCTGGGTCTGCACACAGACTTCAGAGCAAAACGGACCAGATTGAATATGTTTCACTGTGGTGCTCATGCATCTCTAACTGTGTTCCAGTGCATTCACAGCAAAGTGAAGCTCAAACAACAGGCAAATTCATTTTGAAATCTACTGCTGGGCTGCAAGACTCAGCACAATGGGGACTCTGTTGGAGAAAGGAGATTAGAATGGTAGTGGAGACTAGGATCTGGAAAGAGATAAGGAAAGGCTTGCAAGGAAGCAGAAAGTCCTTCAGGAAGGAGACATTTTCAGGCAAAAATCTCCAAATAAACATCTGGGAGCTTGTTTATATTCTAGTGTACTTTTATATGATTATTTTCATTTTAAAAAAGACATCAACATCAATGCGGTTTATAGTGTCTTAAAGGTTTCCCCTTCTAGCAAACCAAAACCAACTTCTCAGTTCCAGCATTCTGAGGGGGGGAAGGGGGAAATGTGAAGTCAAACTCTTGGTATCTGTCCAAGAATCTTCAGCATGTATATTTTCTATACCACTCTAAATATATGAAAAAAGACGGTAATCATTCGTACAAAAAGTCATCCTGCATGTTCCCATTGAAGGTTCCACAAAGGCCCACAGTATCATCCTTCCATCGGTCGTCAACTTGAAGATAGAGCCTTAGCCCCTGCCTGTCATATAGTATCTGTAGTCCAATGTTGGTCTTTACTTGCAAAAATACAGAGGAGAGCTTCCTGATTTCAAAAGAATCTGGTGGGGAGGGGAAGGGGGAAAAAGATAAGTTGAAAGAAAATGGTTAAGAACCTTGTTCTTATTTATGTCCGTTACAGTTTCTATATTCTGAACCCCCCAAAAAGCAATAGTGATGTATCATTAGAGGATAGGATGTATTTTACTGTCTCATAAGGCAAACTAAATGTTTGATACATTCTCTCAAGTTGTGTAAAAACACAACAGATCACTGGCAATTTCATAAAGAGTAAGTAGAATCAAATAGTTTTAAAAACACAATTTTTTCAGATAATCAGCTGTAGGCAGGTGACATCATCATGATGGTGGCAATGTACTGCATGAAGCACAGACATTTTGGACAGTTCCCATAGAGCCTGATCCTGCAAGATGCCGAGTGTCCTTAAGCTCTCACTGAAGTCAACACAGATCCTTGCAGGATGGGGCTATGGTTTAATATGCAATATACTTGTCTCTCCCAACAATGATATATTAAAAATGCACTGAGTTGAGGCAAGAAAATATGAAACTCAAACTTAAGGCAGAACTCCTCTGGTGGATCTCAACACCATTATGCTATGTAAGTAGAGCAAGAAGAACTCCCACTGACATTGCTGTGAGTTCTGTATGAGTAAGGAGAGGAGAAAAGTCAGAGTCAAGACATACAATGATGATTGGAGAGAATTTTGCTTTTAGGACAGAACTGAAGTTGTAGTCTGAGTGATAGACTATGGGCCTGTCAATGGTACAATTTACTTTATCTTCATGTAAGAGGCTTCTGGCATAATACTAATAATTAATATTTTTGTCATCAAGGCATTAAATACCACTGCAGTTAGTTAGTGAAACACCAATTGGTGCCATCCTATGGGGAATTAGCAATGTGTCAATGGCAACAACATAATTCATATACATGGTTTTAAAAATACTGCTTTGCTGCTTGATATGCATTATTTACTTATGTATTTATTATTCCTTACCATCCGAATAGGGCAGGCTAATTTTGTACTGATCATATATCAAAACATCTCCTGAATGAGTCAGAGTCACTTGCCTCTTGGGATCCTGATTAAGAATCAGATTGACTGATTTGATACATGATCCATCTTGGTTCTGCAAATAGGAGTAAGAGAAACATTTTGAGTTGGGTTAAATGTTAAAGCAGAAGTATGGAGGGGGAAAACTGTAAATAATTTTCAATTGTATCTTGCCTCTTTAGAAAAATTTATTTGTAAAATATGTGGTTTCAAAGTTCAATTTAAAACAAAGTTAATATTGAGATTTTAAATGTAGATGTTTGAATACACTTGTAACATATTGGACAAATACAGCTCAAAAGTAAGAGACATAAAAACAAATACAGCAAAATCTTTTTATAGGGCCTGATACAAAGCCCTATGCAATCAATGGGACATTACATTAACTTCAGTAGGCTTTGGATCAGGCTCATTTATTTCCGGAAAAAACTTCATTGAAAGTTGATGCTTGTAAATAAAATTAAATTCTGCACATTATAATGCAAAGAAACAATTTGAGTCAGTCGTTTCATTTAAGTGGAAAGGGGGTTTTGCCATATCTAAGTTATTTCTAAACATTTTAAACCTAGAATGCTTTTGAAAGCAATAGTAATATATGATATATATAAAAAGAGGTTTCATGGTGTACATGATTTTAAAGTATATTTGGGCTCATTCTTGCCCAGGCAAGAGATCTGAAATCCACTGGCCTACCCTATTTGCCATGTGTTACAAGCAGTCCTCTTATCTAGCTGGTTAAAGCTCATCTCAGAACCACTCTGCAGACTCACTGGCAACAGGACTTTGATTACATATGCCTGCTGTGCCACTGTATCCAACCACATACTTATTGAACTAAGACAGTGATAAGAATGACACAGCCAGGACTACATATAGGAGGATACTTGGGAGTTGTATTGGTTCCCTATGAACACTAGCTAAATCTTACACCAAAGGAAGGAACAAAATCATTCTAAAAACAATCTAATGGACCCCTGGAAGTTCCTTGCACTCAGGTCAGTGACACCCAGTGATCAATGGTATAAAAGGCAACCAAAAGATCTAAATAATCAGACTTTGCATTGTAAGTGATCACCAGGACTCTATAGCAGAAACCTGATTCAGAGAATTGCGTTAAATCTAATCTAGGAAAAGGAACATGCCATGTGCCATACCTGGTAAAACCAACCAACACCATTCAAAGTTCATAAATTGAATATTTGAATTGCAGAAAACTAAGTGCTCTGAAATTGAAAGACCAATAATTATTCAATGAAAATGTTGCACAAATAATTTCAAATAACTAATAAATATGACTATATTGTAGGCAGCTCATGAATACTTTGTGGACAGAAAAAGAGGCAAAATTCATCAAGTAAATTATTTACTGAATATTATTCTCACAATTCTATTGTGCAATGTTGTAACAGGTTGGGCTTTATTAAAAATTAATGTTTGATTTGGTCACATGTTTTTCAGGGTTTCTAGTAAGCTTCTTTTGGAGCTGTAGTATGCATGGATAGTCAGAAAACTTTTCCCAGACCTGCAGCCTTTCATTTTGGACTTCAAAATATGTGCTTTTGGCATAAAAATTGTCAAAAGGAGGCAGTTCTATGCTCATGCAGTGTACACCTGTGGCTTGTTAGCAATGGCCTTTGCAATGTGAAAGATTCCCATGATCCAAGCTAGACATGCAAAACCTACCTGGCCCACATTTTGTAAATTTGCACAAAGAAACATAGCCAGATAAAGAAACTAGATGGTGTAAGAAAAAACCTAAAGCAAGTAGTGAAACCACTTGGTAACTCAATCAAGTATTGAGCACTTAATATTCCAGCATGTTTTATATTACAGTAGAGTGAACTACAACTAGATACCACACCAAACAGGTGGAAGGCAGTATGAGTTCAAGATTCATTGAACATTGAATTTTTCCAATGTATCACAGTTACAGACACATGTGCTAAATAACCTGGCAACTATCCACACAGATGATTCAATAGCTATCAGAGTTTCCAGACAAGTACCTCTGTCTTTGTGAGTAGCTGAACCCATTTAGCCTCCCATTCAAAGAAATAGCACTGGGAAAGGGAAAAGAAATGCTTGATAAGTCAAATAGAACTAACAGACTTTACTTGTTAGAATAAAATTCAGCAATTGGTACTTCTGTAACCAGATAAAACCCTAGAAAATGTACGGTAGGGGCCAATCCTGCACTGGAAGTGAAATGGAACAGACGACCTGCAAAGGCTTTTCCATCTTTGAATTGTGGTAACAAAGTTGTTTGTTACATTTTTAAATACATATCTGAGCAGCACAGGAACCAGACTGTGAAGCAGGGTCACAATTTGGTTTCTGCTGTTTCTTTGCTCCAGAATGGGAGTAATCTGTATCACGCCTTTTGCCAGCACAGATTATTTTACTTTCTGCACTGGCTCCAGTGAACAGGCTGGGGTGTTTGCGGACCAGCAGAGCTGAGATTTTGCCCATTCCCCACCATCTACACAGGAAGGGAAGTTGCAGCCCACAGGTGCTGCTCTCCCCCCGTGCAAACTCTGACAGTGCAAGTAACCCACTCAGGAGAGTAAGTGGACTGTACATCCTCTTACTCTCCTATGCAGGCAAGTAGGAGGACTCACAAATGACCCCAACGTGACCAGGTCTATTATGTTTGTTCCGTTTTTTCTTAATGTATTATGTATGTATCTATTTTCATAGACATTTCTTCTTCTACAACAGAACACAATGCCAAAGAGAGATGTTTGAAACCTTTACCATTGGCCTTAAGTTCATGTAACTTGATTAAACTTCAAGTGTTGAAGATACAGCACAAGCATGATGATGCAACAGAAATCTGGCAAATCATATATTAAAAACCTTCAGTGTGAGGCAGGCATTGCTGCAATAGCTGATAGAAGTGTCTCACTTGAAGTGGTTATAAGAGACTGTAGGAAGGCAAGAGAAATGTCCCACAGTCACAAGGGTGGGGGTTTGAGAGACAGCTGGTGGATCAACCACTGACCACATCATCCCACAGATCACTACATGCAGAGGGGAAGCACAAAGGCTGTGGAGGATACGTCAACCCAGAAGCTAGGGTGGCAGACATAGAGAAGCTCTCCAGTTTCTCTATCACTAGGGTAAGAAGGATTCTGTCCCACCAACACTTCCTACACATTTTCCATGGAAAAACCCAGCATCCAACCCAGCTACTCAGGCGGGGCACAGGAAAAGGATTTGGGTCAATCTGCAAGCAAAAAGTGAGTATACACATAACACTTTAAGTGCTGACTTCTAGCGGATCATGGCCTAATTAAACTTGAAATTCAGTGCAGATGTAGAAGCAAATCTGATGACCTCCATAAAACCACAGAGAGGTTGAAAGACAAATTGAAAACCATATAAGAAGAGGTTGCATTCAAGACATACCTGTGGCTAAGCAAATGAAATCAAGAGTATGTAGGCTGAATATTACATAGTATTTTGTTGTTCGTCAAGAGTTCTATGGTACTGTCTGATTCATTTAAGATTTTTACTATACTTGACTCTGTGCTTTCTTTCACATATAGTGCCACTTCCCCACCATTGCAACCTGCTCTGCCATATATATTTTGTAGCCTGGCATTACCATGTCCCATTGATTATCATTGTTCCACTAAGTTTCTGTGATGCCTATTATATCAATATCCTCATTTAATACCAGGCACTCAAGTTCACCCATCTTAGTATTTAGACTTCTTGCATTTGTATACAGCACTTATAATTTTTGTCAATATTTAGCTGTCTGCCTTCATGTAATGTAACTGACTCATTTTCGTTTGACTAGGTCATGAAGAAGCTTATTAACCAAACATGAACAGATGCTGAAAAGTTGATTATAAAGTTGCAGTCATGAACCAGGACCCCATTGTACTAAGAACTGTACAAACACAGAAATAATTACAACAAATCTAAGGAGCCAATGATATCAGAAATAGTGCCTGAAAACCAGTGCAGAAAAGAAAGCTTGCCTAGACATCATTTAAATGGACAGAACTATTTGCAAAGTTTGTTGCAACTATTATTCCACCAAGTACACATCAAGTGCTACAATAATGCACACGGAATTCATATTTTCTAGATATACAATCCAGACAATGTTCATTGCAGACATTGTTCAGTAAATGAACTTAAAATATTTACATCAGTGCCTAGGTGTCCACTGTTTCCTCCTACAAATAGCAAGGCAGAAGTCAGGGTACTGAATGTTAAGAGGTTACTAGAAAAAGCAACTGACAGTAACTCACATCCATAATTTGTTTTATGGGGTCATGCAGCACCATTAAAGTGTAGATTTGCAACAGACTCATATGGAACGCCAATTGCATTCAAGGACTTCCCTGTATCACTAAAAAGCACCAGCAGTGATATTTTACCTAAAAGAGGCGGTTAAAAAAAACACAACTGCTGAAATATTTTTTCAGATCTACCAACTATTTGGATTACTGATAGAGACATATACTGGACACATATTTGTACACACAAAAACATGCCTCTGCACAAGCAAATTAAATACCTGTGCACAGAACAGCTGATTTTCCAAACATAGTTCAGTATTTGTACATGTTATTTCAAAGCCTGACTGGCTTCTTCATGTCCTCTTGTTTATAAGAGTGACTCTCATCCAATCAAGAAACTGAAACAATACCGTATTGCTTATGTGACTAATCAGCTAACCAACATGGCTAGAATCCTGAATATCAAGTATTGAATTATCATAGCCAATTGTTTGAGACCTATCCAGAATTTACAAATAGCAAAAACTTTATCAAGTTATTTCAAACACAAAAATGATTTGCTGTATATTGTTTGTTCAGCTGTAAATGTGTAACCTAACATAATATCAACTTCTTCTAATCCAATTGGCAGTTAGATCCTAGCACCCAGGTGGAGTCCCAGTGATTTAAGAGTCATACATACCATACAGAGCTCGTTGCAGTGGCCATGATTTGTAAACAGAACAAAGAGAGTAATTTGAAAACAATATGTTTTAAACATTCTTCCTTGAAAGGATAGAGCTATGTAATGTGCTGCAGAAAACTACTGGTGGAAAGAAATGAATGGGATATTCCAGCTAGTGCAGTACTGATAAGCATGTTTAAATGATAGTTAAAGTGGATGCATTGAAAGCAGTCTTTCCCTTTTAAATTATACTGACTTGGCCTTTCAGAATTCTATCTTCCTACTTTTAAACTTCTATTTTTATTAAAACATGTTAAATGCATTTCATGACTGAGTTATCTAACTTCTTTTATAAAGAGGTTCAGAATGGGCTCAGTTTTGTAGGAACCCCTTTTTAAGCCAATATAGATGGTTTGCACTGATTACAAAGTGTTTCAATAGCATGGTCATGGTGACAGCATTAAAATTAATATTATTGATGTTGACTTATTGATAATAGTCACTGAATTAATAAAAATGTATTCAATAATTTTTATGTTAAGATCATGTCATTTAATGACTTTGTGTTATTTACTCCTTTACATAACACAAGAACCAAGGGTCACCCAATGAAATTAAAAGGCAGCAGGTTTAAAACAAACAAAAGGAAGTACTTCTTTATACAATGCACAGCCAACCTACAGAACTCATTGCCAGGGGATATTGTGAAGGCCAAAAGTATAACTGGGTTCAAAAAAGAATTAGATAAGTGCATGGAGGATAAGTCCATCAATAGCTATTACCCAAGATCAGTGGTGGGCAACCTGCAGCCCGTCAGGATAATCCACTGGCAGGCCACGAGACAGTTTGTTTACATTGACCTTCCGCAGGCACGGCCCCCCCGCAGCTCCCAGTGGCCGCGGTTCACCGTTCCCAGCCAATGGGAGCTGCAGGCGGCCGTGCCTGCAGATGGTCAATGTAAACAAACTGTCTCGCGGCCCACCAGCGGATTACCCTGACAGACTATGTGCGGCCCGTGAGCCGCAGGTTGCCCACCATTGCCCAAGATGGTCAGCAATGCAACCGCACGCTCTGGATGTCCTTCACCTCTGACTGCCAGAAGCTGGAAGTGGATGAGAGGGGATGGATCACTCAATGATTGCCTGTTCTGTTCATTCACTCTGAGTGGCATTGGCCACTGTCAGAAGACAGGATACTGGGCTAGATGGACCATTGGTCCGACCCAGTACGGCCATTCTTATTTGTGAATGTAAATTCAGAATGTTGCACATGAAAATGGCTGTGCTATAAAATCTTTAGGCATATTTTCAGAGATTGACTTAACACTTGGCCCTAAACTTGCAAATAATGCCTTCCAGCTTCTACGTACAACAAACTGTAGCCATATAATGTGTTAATATTTATTAACTATCGAACATTGTTCTGCAGAAGGTTTGCTATCTCCACCAAGGATTTTATAGAAGAAATTTTACCTGACAATAATTCTCTGTTTCAGTGAATTGTTTCTTTCATAACATTGCCTCAGCCAACTATCAGCAGGTGTTTTCACATGAACTGCTTTCTCTCTCACTAGACACTTAACAAAAATTCTTATATTCAGAATCCCTCATCATATAAACTACAAAGCCAGTGATGTTGTCACTTGAAACTCAGATAAGGTTAAGCTGTGCTGATCACTTTCCTGAGTCGCTTTCCAAAAAGTGCTTAAACAAAATTTCACATCATTCTGAAACCACTTGTTGCCTGCTGACTATTTATGTCACCAGCTCTAAGGCGCTAGCTGACTAGTGTCTTTGTGATTCAAAGGGCTGGAATCTCTTCAGGTATTTTCTTTCTTCATTTTTTAATCTGCTAGAATGTGATGGGACTGATCAGTGAAAAAAATGTAATAGTCATTAAAAAAAAAAAAATACCAAAAATCTCAGGCCACTGAGAAATAAGAGCTTCTGTAACACACATCTTTTAGATTACAATTCAGATTTATTTCTTATATGGGAAACACATGCTGGATGTTCCCTAGTGTAAAGCAGTTTATCTGCCAAGCGGGGGCCACATATTTAAGCAAATTAATGGATGCTTCACACCCCTACTCCGGTGGTGTCTGGATTAACTTCAGTGAAGGTACTCTTGATTTACACCACATATGTTCTGATTTTCCAGTGGCCTCCATCTTCAGAACGCTCCACTCACTTATACCTGCAGTAGAGTTTACACTCACTTTGGATTCATGGAAACAGATCCTCTGGTCTAGACTCAGAACAAGACACAAGTATGTGGGAGTGATCCTGATCTTGGGTCTGGTTGTGGGTCCCAACATATACTAGAATGGCCTGATGGCTGCTCCAATTTACACCTGGCTGCTTACTGCCCCAAGAGGCTATTCTGGCACCTAGAAATCACCAGGCCACAGAGATAAATTAGGCACAACTCCTGTGTCTGCGGTCAAGAAGAGGGTGAGAACAGCTCCCACGGCTGTATGCAGTCTGAGGATTACCCCAGAAGGTCAGACACATCAACATTATGGTCACATTACAAAGCAGAAGCAGCACAAAGCCACCGAAGCAAGCAAGGCCCAAGTTCTTGTTTATTTTGCACAGAGGCAAGGGAGTGCTGAAAGGGAGTGGAGAATAAAGCCCATAATGAGCATCTTCCATATTATCATAACAGAAACTTGAACCAAGACCTTCATTGTCTATTGGCAACATCTTTAGAAACAGCTCCCTCTAGCCAAGACAGCGTAGACTGCCCTAATCTTGCCTCAGCCTCTGTAACCCACTGATGAGCGAGTGTTATGAGTTTCCCTCTCTGTCCCAATACACAGAGGATGAGAGTTGTTTCACCCCCCAATTATAGAGCTCAAGCTGTAGCAGTTTATGACCTGATAAGCCAGCCAAGAGGGAGGCCATCACACCTCAATTTGCTTAACTGAACTGCTGACAGTGTTTCTTCATGAGATCCCATTTTGCTAGCCATTAGTCCAGCAACACAGGACACAACTGAAATATATCCCTCTTTCTCAAGTTTGGCCAATTCTACAAACCCTGTAGAAGCAGACGTATGTAAACTTTAATATTTATGTTCCTATTTTTTGTTACACTCCTTTTTTTAATTGCACTAAAAATGAGGCTTGAGCTTTCTTTCAGACTATAATACTGGAGTCAGCAACACCTCAGGATTTACAGAAAGTAATCAATGCAGCCCTCTCAGGGGTGAAACACAGTGACTATTTAGAAATGCACATCAGTTTTGAATAGAAAGCGAAGGAGAATACTATAGGCAAATGGAATTACAAAGGAAAATAGAGGGAAGAGGATCTGATTGTGATCTCACTCAGTCAGAGGTAACTCCAGCGGACTGTAAGCTCTTCAGGGAAAATGATTGTCTTTGAACAGTGCCAGCACATTGTCGGAACGATCAGAATACAAATAGCAAATAATAATAAAGTCTGTGCAGTTTATATAAACTTCAGAGTCATCAGTAGAGTTGCTACTGATTTAAACTAGTTAAGTGAGATCAAAATCAGACTCCGAATGTAATTACCTCAGTTGGAATCTGGCCAGGACACAAAGTTTAATCTGTTCTGCTATTAGACCAGGTGGCCAGCAGCTCAGTTTTTTATCTTGTCTCAAACATGGCAACTGCCATAGCACTGTGATCCCGACATAATATTGGAGCATTAGTTCAGAACGGATGCTAAGTACTGGACAAATTCTGCCCTGGGGTGTACATCTATCGCACCTATTGAAGTAAATGAAAAGGCAACCATCCAAAAAAGGAAGTTGGACACTCAGAAATGTGGTGTATTGAGGACTGTGTTGGAATTACAAGCTATCACTTTGAAGAATGTGTGGTGGTGGCGGCAAGGGGTTCATGATCCCATTTGCAGGCTAGAGGGCTCTGTAGTAAAGTGTGTGACTGGAGTCAGTCTGAAAGGAGCCAGCTTAAAGCAAGGTGGGGTGAGTTGTGACTCTCTGCCTTAAGGGACAGCCTTTTTACTCTCTCTCTGTTTTGGGGTTCTTGTGTATTATTGTCATAAATTCTAAGCAATAAAGTAGCATTATGTTGCACCCTTCCAGCAAGAGTATTTATGTTTTTATCTAATATATTTTATGTGTGCTGTGACCACTTCCCACAGCAACTAGGTATTCCCTGGAAGACTAGTACAGACCTGACCCAACTTTGCTTACATTGCAAGGTCTAACAAGGCCACAACACAAGGTTAAATGCTCCAGCTGACTATATCAATCAGGGTTGTATTAGATATCATGAAGGTAATAAAAACCTTGTCCAATATACTGTATTCATCAGCACAAGTAATGTTACAATGATATACATACACACAGGACTGGCTTCACACATGTAGAAGAGACTCGTAACTTTTGTATGTGACTACAGACTGATGGGCAGATGTTTGCCCATTTGCCTAAGACAGCAGAACTCCTAGACTCAGCCATACTTTACACACATACATACACACACATTTAGAGAGAGTTCACCACCATCAACACTCTCGACGGGTGTACCCAAAACTTTATGCAGCTTTCCAAGCACTACAGCTAAAATTCTTTACAAGTTACAAGAAGCAAAATGAGAAGCCCCTACACCCAATGCACTGAGAATGGTAATAGTGTTCTGTGACTGCTATGTTATGTTTGCTATGTGCTTACGGCAGACCCAAAGACAGAGAAGAGCCCACCACACCCAGAAGCCTCCAGGACAATCAGATACCAACGTTTATTTTTCAGAGTAAGCTCATCTTTTCTATTTTTTCCCCTCACCCAGGGCCTGATCCAATGTCCATTGAAGTCAATGGGAGGCTTTTGATTAACTTTAATGGATCCTAGATCAAGATCCCAAGGCACAGCTCTTCCTCTCTCTGGATGCAGATGTATGAGGCTTTCTCTACAATCCTCAAAAAAATCTATTTAAATGCCTTTAAACATAAATTAATTAAAGAAAATCATTGCTACGGTCTTATTTTTAAAGTGTTACATTGTATAGGTAGTTGGTTGTGGATTTTTTTCCCCTCATACTGAATGCATTTTTCTGACTCCGGTAACAGAAGATATAAGATATAATTAGAAAGCATTAAGCCTTACCGGTCCACAAGGAGCATTTTTCAGAGACACTGTAAACTTGCCAGATCTGTGGCTTTTTGCCAGAATATATTGGCAGGTAGCTTGGAAAGTGTATTTGCGCCCATCAAATGTCATGAAGTTAATGTCTCCTGAGACAGAGCATTCAGCTGATATTAAAAAAAGGATAAAGTCCTTTATTACAGAGCAAAAGTGTTTGTTGTAAATACTCTACAACTTCTATTATTACTGTAAGATTCAAATACTCTGGTATGGATAAAACAACTTTAACGACTGATTAACAATGTTATTCATGTGCTGTACTCAAGTGTTAGTGACAGGGAGGGAATGCATTAATCAAGCCCACATAAAGCAGTCAGAATATGAACACTTGATCTTAGAAATTTTCCTGGGATCCACTGCAAACTAACACTCTGAATATTGATAATCACTGCTCTATAGATTTGTCAGGCTATCAGGGCCGGCTCTAGGCACCAGCAAAACAAGCTGGTGCTTGGGGCGGCACATTTTTAGGGGCGGCATGGCCGGCGCCAGAATGCCGCCCCTAAAAATGTGCCCCGGCCGCCCTAGCTCACCTCCGCTGCTGCTGCCATGACGCGCGAATCAGCTGTTTCGCGCGCCGCGGCGGCTCGGGGTCTCCCCCTCCCTCCCAGGCTCTCAAACCTGGGAGGGAGGGAGGGGGAGATCCCGAGCGGCCGTTTCGCGCGCCGCTGCTCCCCCTCCCTCCCAGGCTTGGGAGCCTGGGAGGGAGGGGAAGAAGCGGCGCGGGCGCCGCTGCTCCCCCTCCCTCCCTCCCTCCTAGGCTTGAGAGCCTGGCGGGAGGAGGCAGGGCTGGGGATTTGGGGAAGGGGCGGAGTTGAGGCGGGGC